ACCAAAAAATAAAAGTAATAATATTTGTTTTTATTTTTGATTGCAAACCAAATGTCATATTTAAAGAAAACAATACACACTTACAAGTTACAACGTAGTTTTTCAAACTTTAATATTATTATAAAACTATTAATGTTTAAAGTGCGATAAAAATAAGTTTTTATTACCTAACTATATTAGGTATTGATAATAAATAATAACATATTGATTTCAATTGAAAGGGCATTTGGTTATTCGATTAAATTATCAATTGACTAACGTGAACAATTTATAAATACCTATTCGAAGCTGGTTCGGTGTTAAGCTTGGCCGACGAATTAGGAGAAGTATTTTCGCCGGATAGAAGGAAATCGTTCGTATCGGGACTTCGAGATTCTGAATGTCGGTCTCCAGACTCGGGTATATCATTAGTTCATTCGCCCGAGAGAGCCAAATCTAGTTCACCACAAGAAATCGGTAATGAGCCCACAACAATTACATTAATACATATTATTACGCTCTCAACTTATCTTAATGAAACCTTAATTTGACTATTATTTATGCGCAGACACTCCGACTCCAGCGTCTTCGTGTTCATCGGGTCTTCCATTATCTCAATTAGAGCTATTAGAGGCCACGCACAGAGGTCTGTACAAGTTCGTTCCTAGGCACCGGGACGAGTTGGAAGTGGATATCGGTGATCCGATTTACGTGCAAAAGGAAGCCGAAGACTGTTGGTGCGAAGGTACATATTTACTGTTTGATCTCGACGGGAATATTGATGGCAATGTTAACGTCACAACAATATCATATAATACTATTGTATATTATACATATTGACGGGTTTCAGGAGTTAACCTTCGCACTGGAGCTCAAGGAGCGTTTCCGTCAGCGTATGCAGTAGATGTCGAGTACACGGATTTCGATTCTGCGGCGCCCAAGGTGAAACGAGAACGGTTTCTTTTGGGATACATGGGTTCGGTGGAGACAATGTGGCACAAAGGCAATTCTGTGCTGTGCCAAGCCATACGGAAGATTACTGAACGACCCAATTGCAAACCACAATCGTGCATACTTGAGGTGTCGGACCAAGGACTTCGAATGGTCGATCGTGCCAAATCTTCAACGATGGTAAGTGCTGCACTGTTTAGTGTACAATTTACACGTACCTAAGTACCCAACTACCTACTTATGCACACAGAGGTTCATAAGCAACACACTGCATGGACTAATTTTAAATAGGTACCCAACACTTAAGTAATTAATAATCTTCAAAATGATAGATGATGGTGATATGTATTAGGTATACCTATTATATAACACATTTACGTTCTACATAGGCATACCTATAAAAATGTATTATAATATTACACGCATTTATTTTATTGAATTTTATTATATATTTTAATATACCCAACAACCAAATTGAATACATACCTATATATACCTATATATCACTTTTTCTGTGGTGCTATTTTTTTCAGCAGCGATTATTTAAATTGTTGAATACATACTTATCTAAATTTCTATATTACCTATGTATTATATATGTATATTTTATTGTACTTTTCAATTTAGCAGACAAGAGATTCGAGTACACCATGTCAAGATTATTTTTACTCTTTAAAGAACGTATCGTTTTGTGCGTTTTACCCGGAAGACAACCGATATATGGGGTTCGTTACTAAACATCCGACATGTCAGAGGTTCGCATGTCACGTGTTTAAAGCAAACGAATCGTCGAGACCAGTGGCGGAAGCGATCGGGTAAAGGATTTCACACGTATTTTATTCGTTCAGAAATAATACAAATATAACACCCTATTCGTTTTCTTAGACGTGCTTTCCAAAGATTCTATCAGAAATACATAGAGACAGCGTATCCAGTGGAAGACATATACATCGAGTGAACGGAAGATAAGTCCATAGTCGTCGTGTAACATATTATGATATGTGCGGAGGACTTAGTGATATGTTTGTGGACGGACAGGACCGTTTGAAAATTATGAGCGATAAAAAGGAATCATCGTTAGAGATATTGTGCTGCAGCAGTGTTCTAATGAAACAAATTCAATATGTGATAACACACCAAATATCGATGAATAATATTCATTTATAACTAGATCAGTATTATCTATTTTGCTCCTTTTAAATGTTCCCAAATACAACTACACATAATATATATAGTCCCCACGACAAGTTCTAAACAATCTCATTAGGAATAAGGATAATATATTGTATTGTATCTTAAATGATTACTATGTTTTTATGAATTCATTTGTTAATATTGAATGTTTAAATGGAATACTACCTAGCTTTAAATATAAATTAAAATATAATTTTGTTTAAAAAGTTTACAGTTCTCAGTTGTTAATTTTATTAATTAATTATACCTTATGTACGCATTAGAAATTTGTCAAATACTGCACAAAGCACTTAATCATGCAGTGGCGCAACTAACTAGGTACATTATAATTTTGTGGCCCAAGTGTAAAGCAATATTTGAATTATCATTTAACTAAAAGTAGGAAGGCAAAAATGAAAAATATTTAATTTATGTATAATCTTTATGACATAAGGTCATTTAAATTGTATGCCTACAATATTTCTATACATAGAGATAGGGATGAGAAAATGTATGATATCCTACTATTAGCACTACTGGATTAAGTATGTACAACACAATATGACGAATATATTACATATTCATATTCTAAATACACATGGTAGTCTTGTATCTATTATATAAGTTTAAACTGAGGTTTAATTCCTGTAAATTGTACTTAACAGTGTAATTAAATGCTGAATTGACATTCAGGTTGAATATTTATGAACATCAAATGGTATAGCTTAAAATATGAACAATATAATAAAATACTCAAAACATAAGAATATATGTATTGACATAAAACAATAGCCTAATAATCAAATAATTGACAGCGGGAATTAAAGAAAAATACACATATATTACTTAGAATTTTTTTTTGTAAAATAAGGATGTACATAGTTAATTACAGTTTAATATAAAACTTGAATATTAAAATAGGGTCAAAAATGAGTTAATATCACAGAATTTCTTCACCAACTCATATAATACAATTGCATAACAAGTTTATTCAGTTATTGTATTATTTTCTTTCTGGTCTCATTTGACTTCTAGGTCCACTTTTTCCATTGTTACCTTTGAATGTATTTGGTTTCATATTTTGCTTTCCAACTCCTGTCCGTCTTGCGTTACTTATTGTATTCCCATTGGCTCCCGGAGGTGGTTGTGGTGGAGGTGCATTAAGGTTTACTTCACTCATATTGACAGATTCATTAAAAGTCATGATAAAATCACCAATTTTTTCAATTTCACCATTTTTACCAACATACAGAGTAAGACAGTTTCTAAAGTAAATTGCATAAGCTCTGTGAACACGTATTATGTCACCTGGATATAAAAATGAACCAGGTTCATCCCACACGGAAAAATTGATGCATGCTGAACTATCAGCTACTTTTACTGTTCGAACTTCATGGTTATCTTTGAGCTGTACAGCAGGATTTACTTCTAATACTATGCACATAACAGTTATGTTGTTTACATTATTTTGAATGTCTTTAATCAGTGTCAAAGGAGTATCTGGATTAATAGGTTTTGGTTTACTAATACTCATCATTTTTATATATATATATATATTTTAACTAACTTTTAAATTACTTCTAGGCTATTAATAAGCTAGATGTTACCTAATTAGTTATTAGGTATGTTCTGTCTGAAACAATTAAAAACAAAATAATTACAATTAAAACAAAAAAATTAAAAAAACGTTTTAACTTCACTTTAAATTAAATTAAAAAATAAATATGACAATTAAACTATAAGAAAATAATAACTTCACTACATATATAAAAGAAAAACTTTATCATTACATAATACTAGACACTTTATTAATAACCATAGACTATAAAATAATCATCCAAGCATTTAGTATTACTCGAGGTATTACTTAATAAGTAATTGATAGTACATTTAATTTATATTGAGTTTAAAAGATTACACTTTTGCTTATTGAGTTTTTTTCTTCAGAATATTATTTCTTTGGATATTAGATTTTTAAATTTAATTCCACATGCTGCAAAGCTATTGATTATAAAAGTATGAAACTAACACTTTTCAGTTAACACTTATTAGGTTACGTATTTCTCAGGAATGTGTATTATGTATTGGTAATTTGATGACAAGTTAGTAGAATACTTTAAAAACATCACCAGGATGACTGTTATAGGGGATTTTTGGGGATCTAATCATCTTGTGTGTTAATAATTTCACAAATAACATAATATTCCAATAACATAATGCAGGAAGTTCAAAGACTTGGAAAATTTCTAACCAATATATGAAACAAAATTAAAGAAGATATTTTTTTTTATAATAAACTAATACTAATTTATTCTTTAATGAAAAAATATAAAATTTCCATTAAATACTTGATTTTAATAAATATCAACTTAAGAAGTTGGAAAATATTAGTAAATACCTACTTAGTAAGCTAATATAATATATACATTTGTTTACTGCCAACATTAAACAGGTTTGAAGTTTTGATAATTTGAAGTTAAAATTTGTTTGTCTACTTAAGGTTATTGTGTAATATCTTAGAATAGATATTACACAACTAGTAAACACCTAGGCAGGATTTAACATTTTGCAAGTTAAAAAATAAATAAATAATAGTTATGAAATGTACCTACTGTACCTATTTGTACAAATTTTTTTACATTTTCATAATATTCAAAATTAAATTACCTAGGTAAACAACCAATGGTCAGATGCACTTACAATGAATATCTAGTGTTTTAATCAAGTGAGTAAATCCTCACTTTTGATTAGACAGATACAATTTAGATTATCAAATGTGGTTTAGTTATCAAATTGTAATTTTATGTGAAAGTACCAATCTGCGAAAACCCGTCACGAAAAGAACACACAATTTCAGGGTGAACTGATTTAATTATAAGATTATCGATGTCACTTACCAAAACCAGTGAAATTTAAGGCACTTGTCTATCTGGTACATTATCTGGAAGTTGAATGTCTGGAAACTGTCATAGCGACCGGTGTTTGTTAGTGACCATTGAAATCGTGTTAGAATTCACAGCATTGTGATGGTGGTCAGAATTAGACGTTCGTTTGGAATTAAAAAAATTAAAAAATTTTAATAAAAATGAGAAGTAGGTATACACCGAGACCAACCTCATTACTTATTAGATTTTTTTTTTTAAACAAATCTCCACGATAAGACGACGGTATTGTGATTTGTGATTGCGTTGATAACAACCAGTGGGGCCAGGCAAACCGGACGCGTAATTCCCATCAGTTGAAGTCTCAATCCGTGATAGTAGCAGAGCGGAACGTGCAACGGGCCACCTGTCCTGATAGCGATAATGTTATTCAAAATAATAAATAATAATATTATTTAAAATGTTGCACTTGGTACATACCTATTAAACAGTAATGTGAATTGCTGCTAGCAACTACCTAACGTTATTATTATTTGTTACGTTCTAAGTTTGTAATACCTACTGTTTCCGGGTGATTTTGTTTTTTTTGTTGTTGTTTGGTTTCAGTCTTTTCACTTCCCGCTAGAACATTCAAAAATCTATACTACGTTCGGAAACTTTGGTTAAAAATAATAAATATTATATTGTTACCAACAAAATCAAACGTGGCGAAAATCAATGACATTTAAAAGTTGAAATCGGATCAGAGTCTTGTTTCTGAGTATAACATAATATAGAACAAGGTATGTTGTTTTGTTATAAATAGTGCCTAATTCGATATTTGTTTTCCCTGCAATACTGCCTCATATATAAAACTAAATATAACTAACAGATATTTGTTATGAGTTTGTTGTATGTTTAAATAAATCAAACAAACAATTAACATTTTCACTTTCATATAGGACCAATGCGTTTCATTAGAATGGTTCCCAAATTACCGTTAGACATAACGGTGCCTCAATATGCACTGCGCAGGCGAGGAGCTATATGCGTTTCAGCTATTGTACATGACTTATGCGAGGTAAGGACTTCATATTATTACAATTGGAATATGGATTAGTTTTGTTAATTTCTAAATTTATATTATAAAACCTACATAGCTGTGGATATATTTATTGAGGTCAACAGTTGGACTATTGTCATCTATTTAATATCAATATGTCTCTGATATAATGAACTGATTAAACATTTTTCCCAGCTAGTGTGAACTACCTACGTAATAACTTGTTTAACTACACTATTATGAGTTGTCAAGGAAATGTAATAACTAATAAATTATCATGGTCATCAGTTATCTACCTAAAACTAGTGGTATTATAATGACATTTATCATTTAGTAACAGTATCTCTACTGTATGTCTCCTTGCTATTATAATATTTAAAAGTATGAAATGTTATAATTGATTAAGTACTTATTACTAAAATTATCATTGGAATCAAAATTAAAGATTTTCATTATCTTATAAATTATTTGGGGAAACTTAATTAAGCAATACAATTCATTTAATCTAAATTATAGTACTCAATCTGAGCGATAGAGTTGGATTTATGTGACTGATTTTTCTAAATATAATTTTATTTATCTGGGAATTGATTAAAGTCAATAGGTCATGTATTGATTTAAAGTGAGTATTAAGATCATCTATTTATAGATAAGAAATATTTGATTTAAAAATAAAGTAAATTATAACATTATTGTATGTATTATTTTCCATTGTACATTTTTGTATGTTTATTAAATAGTTGCTTTCCTATAGTAAACTAGTCAAATATGAACTAGGTATCATTATTCCGAATCTTAGTTATGAAGTCAGGTAATATATAATATTATATTAATAAGAAGTACAATGTAACTGTCCATTGTGATAATTAACAGATGTATTGACCCACTCATTTCCCTGATAAATATTAGGTATAATCGAGGGTATAATATTGTGTAATATTTCAAACAATAATCTTTTAATTCAAAATTAATTGATAACTTTCCCAACATTATCACGGTTTTGGCATTGTGTATGTTGTGTGTAATTGTATATATTTGCGTCATCTATCTGAGTAAAAATATAGATTTTTGATATAAGAAATTGCTTCTGGTCATCGATAACAAACAATGAATTTAATCCTATCAACAAAAAAAAATAAAATCAACTAAAAATATGTATAGTGTAACCCTCGAGTATACCAACATTTAAAAAAAATGTTAAATTGTCAAAAATACGTTTTTTAATGAATTGGTAAAAATTTAAAGATGAAAAATGACGAAATATTAGTTAATTAAATTTTTTGTACCTTGATAAAACAAAATATTGTACGTTTTTATTTCCGAAAAAAGTAAAATGGTTTTATAAAGCTCACACTTAAAATCTACAATAGTTATTATTGTATTCATCATTATGGCAGTAAAGCTTCCATTTAACGAAATTTTGTGTTTGACAAATTATTTTAGATAACCAAATTAAACCAAATATGTTTAATTTTATTTAATGAATTTATCTATGATATGAATCTTTTGTTGTTGCCCATGAGGCTTTGTAATTTTGAAGTTTCACTTTATTTGATTATCAATATAATATATTATAAACCTAGTCTACGAGTTAATGCCATTTTATATCAAAGTAGAAAGTATCAAAGTATCACGTTTTTATATTCATAAATCAAAATACAAACATAAAGAAACCGGAGAAGCCCTGCTTAGACCTAGTAGGTGTCGAGTGTACCTCGGATTTGAGTAGGTAACTGTAAAGTATATTATGTTAAATGATAACTTCAATGGTAAGTCGTAGTACCTATCTAGGATGAAAAACGATTCTGAACGGACACCGATTGTAAGCCTACATTTTATTATGTATTTATATTACAATTACCTATTTTTTTTTCTATTAGTAATTCACGATGGGTTGGAACTAATTTTTGTCTAAAATAAATCGCATATAAACACAATTATTTCATATAATATTTATGAGTTAGTGTAGCCTATTGCATTTTATATCAAAGTAGTAGGTATTATAGTATTTCATTTTATATTCATAATACAATATAAATAAGAAAGCTTTTGGAGAAGCTCCGCTTAGACCTATAGTAGGTGTCAAGCTTACCTCGTCATTGAGTAAGTGCCTATTTTTTTCGATATTTTTAAATTGTTATAAATAACAAAAAGCTAACTTATAACTTAAGAAGAAACTTGTAAAAAAATATACATTCTGTTCAGACTCTAAAATGTTATGACTTATGAGTTATTTACTTCTATTATTACGCCTCTGCAGTCTGCGTGTATAATACTTACTATGTATTATTTATTATTATATGGTTATTTTTTACTCTTTGGTTCACATACACTCATATTATGCATTATATTTGCACATGCTACAAGTTTTGTAAGTAGAAAATCAATTAATTTACCTATACCTTATCCTTTTATTGTAGTCTCTTTATTTATTTAAAAAACATATGTATATTATTTAATTTATACATCTATATATAATAAAAAATTAAAAGCTGTTCATTTAACTATTTTTTTTAAATGTTTGTAGTATTCCAAATGAGTTTAAAAAAATAAAAAAAAATATGGAAAATTCGGAAAAAATTGAAAGGGTTTTCAATACGATTTGTGTTTAAGTATAAATGCTTGTCACTTGTCATTGATTGCATAATATTTTAATTTAGTAATATTAGAAAATTAGTAGAAATGATTTTTTTCTGTATAGAATTTAAATGGTTGTCATAGATTATAATTATTATAATATAATATAATTGACGGGATATAATAATTTAAACTTAACCCAATTTTGATATTTGGTCACTATATTGTCAACCCTCGATGGTTTATTCTAAGTTAATTGACTCAAAAATCACTCGACCGTTTTCAATAAAAAGTTATAAGTTATAACTATAAATTCTTTGAGACTTAGAGAGTGTTTATAGTTTATTTTTTCAATCCCTACACTGACTCACACTTACACCGACTTTAGTTAAATGGTAACTCACACATGAGTTTTTTTCAGATAACGAAAAAAGAATATTTGTTGTTGTTTATTTATAGGATTGTCCCATGCATTGGTTACATATTATATTAGTAGATGTTATTATATAATTATTTCAAATATAGTATGTACATTTTCTTACAAATATTTATTATAATATTCATTAAACAAATCTGGTACGAGGAACGCCTGATGTTAATAGGTAGGTACAGCTAGTATTTTATATTAATGTGTCTTTTGATAGTTGTAATTTCGTCTTTGGTCGTTGTAAATTGATTACAAAAATCGGAAATTTAGAAATCTTAATTAATAATTGCATATGTAACACCATTATTATACAAGCTATAAATTTAATCTATAATTATAATGAAATAAATACTTAGGACACATCAAATAATACAATTTAAATACAATATTGATTATATATTATACAATAAAGAATATAGTACTTATGAGTAATTGTTATAGATAATACTAAAACCGTAATGGCGTGAAATATATTCTACTGATCGGGAAATACATGTATATACATATTTGAATAATTCAATAAATTTTACTGAAATTTAAGTTCGTTGGTATTTTTGTTGAAAATTGCAATTTTATTAATTTATGAATGAAAATTTAGCGTAAGTAAAATACATTTTACAACACAACGTTAACAATTTGATAAATGAATAAATGTAGTACAACTTGCAATTATTATGTATTCTGGGATGTATTCCGATTTTGTGTAAACAGTTTTTATTTTAGTCGCGTTTTTAAGCGTTATTTTATTGCAAAGGGATAAATATGAAGTAGTAGAAACAAAATATTGAAATGTTCTTGGTGAAAAATATGTAGATTCATATTACTTAAAGAGAGAGAAGAACAATATTTATATTTCTAATAAGATGCAAAATGCTATATGTCAGAATTCAAAAAGTGGAAATGGAATGCGAAATGTCTTTCACTCTTTCACCTTTTTCATCATTCCTCGTTTACTTTTTGCATTGTAGATTCAATATTATTTGGTGTGTTGGTTTCAAGTGTACCTATCATACTTGTACTGTTTGGATTTTATTTAATATTTCATTGTTATAATGTTACATTTTTTATAAAATTTAAATTAATTTAATGTTCTGTGAAAAACATTGAAAATAATAATACTTGTACAAGAATAATATGCAAGAATAAAATCACGACATAATATTTTTATACTTTTAATTTTCATTTTGGATAGGTATAATAAATTGTATTTATTTATGGTACTAAAAAACCTATAATGTTTAGTTTATACATTTGTTATAGGTTTATAGCG